CCGGGACAGGCTGGGAATCCACGGCGTATTAGTGCCGCATCGCCGCAGACGTTCCTCGGAGCGCCCTGATGGTGTTGATGTGGTTCCTTTCAGTCCAGAGATTCATCCAATCAGAGGTAAGCCTCCCCAGTCAGTCGAACGCTACCTACCAAAACCCTACAGGGTCCCACAAACCAGTTATTGCTCGACGCAGTTTGTCCTTTTATTGGAGTTTCTTTGTGCGAATAGATAAAGAGCAGCTTCGCACTGCATTCACTTCTTCTTCAACCCAAAACTAAGTTAATGAGAGAACCAATAATAAAGAAATCAATAAATTAATCAGCTTTTAGGTCTGGATATTTCCTTTTCAAAGTTCAATGATTTGCTTTAAATTTCATCAGTTAAATGTGCTTCAGAAGGTGTTAATGAAATACTTAATTTCACTGAGCAGGGGAAGATTTTAGTGTCCAAGAAGAACCTGCCGCTGTTCCTGCGCTTTCATTGGTTCTGGATCCAGAACCGACCCGCCTTCCTGTCTCAACACACAGATCTGCTTCAATAAACCAGTTTAAGTTCAGCTCCCTACCTTCTTCTTACCAGTGTTTCTTAAATTTCTGCAAGAACTTTTCCTAAAGCCATCCGGACGTCTACCAGGATGGAGGGCCGCCTCCTCAAGGCAAGTTCTGTTCCCTGAGCTAAAATCTGATCCGATGTTTTAGATTTTAGATTAGGACAAGAAATATAAACATGTCTTTGGTCGATGTTACTGTATGCTGCGTTCACACCGGGTGTTTTCTGGGCGTCAAAGTGTCGGGCTTACAGTAGCAGCCATTCAAAATGGCCCTTTCCAGTCAAACGCAGCCGAATGGCAGCAAAATCCCCTCCAACTTCCAGCCACTGGAGTGAACACTTCTTGCATTTTTTTTACTCTGACTCCACCCTTTCACTTAATTACAGGGTCTGACCAGGAGATGGCGCTTCTCTTTAGATCTTAATGTCCACAAATCATGACAGAAAGAATATTTTAGATGTTTAAAAAGGAACTGTAGGGGACCAGTCAAAGACTAGCCGAGGACCAGCCAAGGACCAGCCGAGGACCAGCCGAGGACCAGCCGAGGACCAGTCAAAGACTAGCCGAGGACCAGCCGAGGACCAGTCAAAGACTAGCCGAGGACCAGCCGAGGACCAGTCAGAGACTAGCCGAGGACCAGCCGAGGACCAGTCAGAGACTAGCCGAGGACCAGCCGAGGACCAGTCAAAGACTAGCCGAGGACCAGCCGAGGACCAGTCAAAGACTAGCCGAGGACCAGCCGAGGACCAGTCAAAGACTAGCCGAGGACCAGCCAAGGACCAGCCGAGGACCAGTCAAAGACTAGCCGAGGACCAGCCGAGGACCAGTCAAAGACTAGCCGAGGACCAGCCGAGGACCAGTCAAAGACTAGCCAAGGACCAGCCGAGGACCAGTCAAAGACTAGCCGAGGACCAGTCAAAGACTAGCCGAGGACCAGTCAAAGACTAGCCGAGGACCAGTCAAAGACTAGCCAAGGACCAGCCGAGGACCAGTCAAAGACTAGCCGAGGACCAGTCAAAGACTAGCCGAGCACCAGTCAAAGACTAGCCGAGGACCAGCCGAGGACCAGTCAAAGACCAGCCGAGGACCAGCCGAGGACCAGCCAAAGACTAGCCGAGGACCAGCCGAGGACCAGCCAAAGACTAGCCAAGGACCAGCCGAGGACCAGTCAAAGACTAGCCGAGGACCAGCCGAGGACCAGTCAAAGACTAGCCGAGGACCAGCCGAGGACCAGTCAGAGACTAGCCGAGGACCAGCCGAGGACCAGTCAAAGACTAGCCGAGGACCAGCCGAGGACCAGTCAAAGACTAGCCGAGGACCAGCCGAGGACCAGTCAAAGACTAGCCGAGGACCAGCCAAGGACCAGCCGAGGACCAGTCAAAGACTAGCCGAGGACCAGCCGAGGACCAGTCAAAGACTAGCCGAGGACCAGTCAAAGACTAGCCAAGGACCAGCCGAGGACCAGTCAAAGACTAGCCGAGGACCAGTCAAAGACTAGCCGAGGACCAGTCAAAGACTAGCCGAGGACCAGTCAAAGACTAGCCAAGGACCAGCCGAGGACCAGTCAAAGACTAGCCGAGGACCAGTCAAAGACTAGCCGAGGACCAGTCAAAGACCAGCCGAGGACCAGTCAAAGACTAGCCGAGGACCAGCCGAGGACCAGTCAAAGACCAGCCGAGGACCAGCCGAGGACCAGCCAAAGACTAGCCGAGGACCAGCCGAGGACCAGCCAAAGACTAGCCAAGGACCAGCCGAGGACCAGTCAAAGACTAGCCGAGGACCAGTCAAAGACTAGCCGAGGACCAGCCGAGGACCAGCCAAAGACCGGTCAAAGACCAGCCAAAGACCAGCCAAGGACCAGCTGAGGACCAGCCGAGGACCAGCCAAGGACTAGCCAAGGGCCAGCCAAGGACCAGCCAAGGACTAGCCAAGGGCCAGCCAAGGACCAGCCAAGGACCAGCCAATGACCAGCCAAGGACCAGCCAAGGACCAGCCGAGGACTGAGCACCAAACAGATCATTCAAGAAAAGTGGGGAAATTATGAATGGCTACTACTGTACATGCAAAGTCTATGGGGGACGCATCCGATCAGGCAACGGAGCATCTGACCAGCGATCTGCTCTAAGCTGTCATCGCTTCTGCATATGAAATAAATATCAAGGAGTTAAACTCCAAGGGTTCAAATAAAGCAGGTAGAATGGATTGTTATGTAGAAGGAACAGAGAGCAGCTCTGATCATTATTGCTGCACTAAAACATTTATGAACTATGGAGAAACAGTTTATAAATACCCAAATTAACTAGAAATATTCAAACCTGTTGATGGACTATATATGCTGTATATTCTGGTTCTTGCAGGTTTTACGATAAACCTTAAAAACTCTTTCTATTCAACTCCAGCCTGTCGCTAATCCGTCCTGGAAGCGCGATGGGTTTCGCTCGTGCGCCATCAGCTCATTTGCACAACCAGATATGCATCCAGGCCCCTCAATTTGATTTAGTTGAAAAGACCTAAATGATGTTTTTCCCTCCCCAAAAATTGTAAACGTACCAGTGTTAAAAGTTAATGTATTTCCTGAAAAAATAAATGCCTTTAAATCCTTCCTGTTTTATCCCTGTGTTCCCGATTTTAGTACCATAATTACATTATTTATGGAAACCTGGATGTATATCTTTCCGCGCAGGACGGATCGTGCCTGGCGGTATGCTGGAGGTCTGGAGCTCCCAACAACAACTGCAAATTATAGTGGGATTATAATCCTGATGAACTGATGAACAGAGGATGTTTGGAGGTGGACTTTCTCACTTAAAAATGTGTTAAAACTATTTTTCCAACTCATAAAGTAAATAAAGCCGAGCTTCTCTCTGGTTTAAAGCTATAGAACCGAGCAGATAAACAACCAGAACAGCAAAGCAGATGGACCACAGATTGATCCAGGGTCCAGATTTCTCCCTTTAAGCGTTTTGACATCCCCAACACCTTCGGTATGAACGCAGCTTTAGTAAATCTGATAACACTGGAGGTCCTGTTTATTTCCCTTGAAATGGAGCCACATTGGTCAGGAACATTTTTGTTGCGTATGTGGGTTCTGGCCATGAACACCAAACCCTCTCTGCCAATGTCAAACGCCCGTATCAGCGACTCCAGGGTGGAGCTAAACTCTGCTGTTCATCCTGTAAACAAAGTGCGTCCCTGATAAACGCGGCTCCGTCTGAAGGGAATCTACAAGAGCTCTAAAGTTAAGAAAAAACTGACCAGAAACGAAGGTCTTTACCGTAGCAGCCATTCAAAATGGCCTTTCCCAGTCAAAAGCCACCCGAAAGGCAGTAGATCCATTCCAACTTCTCCTGGACGTGCATATTTTCTTACTCTGACTCCACCCTTTCACTGAATAACAGGGTCTGACCAGGAGATGGCGCTTCTCTTTAGATCTTAATGTCCACAAATCATGACAGAAACAACATTTTAGACGCTTAATAAGGAATTGTAGAGGACCAGCCAAGGACCAGCCAAGGAAAGTAGGGACATTTTGAATGGCTACTACTGTACCTTCATATCAGTGAACGGCTGAGACCCAAACAGATCCGTCTGACCAACTGGAAACACTGGTATTACTTCATGGTGCTTTCATCTCTTGAACTTCCAGAGAACAGTCTGGTTCTCAGTCAGGTAGAAAATTTTGTGAAAACCTATTCTAGATGCAGATATTTGTGCAAAGATAAAGTCATTTTGTTTCAATCTTGGGTAGAAAAGGAAAATCCCCAAATAATTGTTGCTTGGTACTAAAATCTAGCATAAAAGGGGTAAAATGCATTTATATTATTCAAAGAAATAGAAACCTGACCCAAAGAGAAATCAAGAAACCGATAGAGGAACTCTGAATCAGAACCATCTCCCTAAGGAACCATCTCCCTCTGTGCTCTTAATCCAGCTCACCCAGGTTTTTCCAGGACACTACTGACAGCTCCAACTATGAGGATCAACATCCAGCTGCTCGTCAAACTGAATGTAGGAAAATCCTGAGCTGATTGTCTCATTGGGGTCAGAACCGGCTGACGCCTCCATGTTCCCGATCACGTTTGGCTTCAAAAAGGCAGATAAAGTTGTTTTAAGCATCGAGCCAAACTCAGACCGGCCAGCTGCTCAATGACGGCTGGTGATTTGTAGAAAAGTCTGTAAAATATTAGATTAAATCCTTTTACCCTTAATATAGAAACTGTTGAGTTTAAGCAATCAGAATATCTAATAAAATATTGTCCAGTTTGATCCATGAAGTCTAGCCTGGATTTTTAATCCAGTGGCAGAGCAGTAAAAGCACCAGGTAAACTGAAATGTACCGTTTATTTCTGACGAATCACCGAACCGTCATTGAGCCCACGGATGGAGTTCGGGACATTTCTTTGTGCATTCGTATCAGTTTTTGGTGTCAGAGCAGGAAAGAAAAAAAGAAACAAACTCCTCCCTTTATCAAAGGCGCAGTAAAGTGACGGCAAAAATGTAAACTCAAAAGTGCAAAAAACGCCCAAAAGAAAGAAAACAAGATGGAGATTTAGGTTTTTGAGGTGACGTAACTTTCTCCTCAACTAGACGGTACTTCGGTGACTTCATACAGCGAGCGCCACTTCAAAGGCTTAGTTCTTAACTTACTCTAAAAAAATATAAAAAAATAGTAATAATTGTACCGATATTAAAAGACTTGTAACATCAACAATATTATACTTTTACTACGAAAAAATGTCTTTTTGTTTAAATAGCATTGCTCTTCCTCAGTTCTCAGCCAGAAAACCGTTAACTTGTCAGGAAACGAAGACAGGAAACCTGTCATTCCTCCGACTAACAGCGTAGAACTGCCGGAGGGTAGAGCCGCCCCTCACCAGGCCAATACACCATCGCTCTGACTGGACCACAACTCTGGTCTCAGTCCAACACAGCAGAACCACAGCTTGGAGTTGTTTCCTTTAAGAAAACCCTCAAAATGTTTGATTTGAACGAGAATCTCCAGCGGGGACTGTGGACCAAGATTAAAGGTAGTGAATAATCCTTTGCGCCTCCTCCTTCAGCTCCTACGTTCCTCTAGATTTGCGGGGAGAACGTTCCTCAGCTACGGTACATTCAGTGAACAACAGAACTTGTCGAAACTTCCTGCTAAGGTTCCGTTTCCATCTCTCCGTTGGGTTCGGCCAGCGATTTTTCTCTGACTTCGCTGTGTGCCATTTCGTCGGCCGTTTCTGCGTTGGCGGCGAGCGGATGGAGGTGTTCGGACACGGCTCGCGTCACGCTGTCGTAGGACGGCGGCGATGAGTTGGAGGAAACGGTCTCGAAGCGCTCCGTCGCTAACATGCTGGAGCCGTAGTTTTCTTTCATCATGGTGGCGATCAGCCCTTCTTTCTCAGGTGCTTCCTCCATTAACGCGGCCTCGCCTCCTTCCTCGCCTTCGCTGGGGTCGTGTCGGGGTGTGGTGATCTGACGGTACAGGTAAGAGGCAGCCTTCATCTGGCGCCTCACCAGGTGGCGGCGATAACACCTCTGGATGATGGTAGCGGACACTTCCTCCTGCTTGCGCCTCAGCGTTGTTGTGATTGGCTCGTAGGAAATCTTGGACGGGTTAGAAATCATGAACTTCTCTTCCATCTGCTGCTTGAGGGCGTCCATCTCTCCCGACTCGCCGAGGACCCGCTTGGTGAAGGCAAAGAGGATGTCAAGGCAGTGGATCTTGTCGCCGCTGACCATGGGCAGGTCCATGGAGATCAGCTTGATCTTGTTTGGCTTGGAGATACGAAGAGGCTCCAGAAGAGAGTCCGCAAACTCTGACAGCTTGGAGTACTCTATGAACTGCGTGGCTTCTGGGTCGAACTTCTCCCAAACCTCGTAGAACATCTCGAAGTCATCCTCGCTCAGCGGCTCGGTGCTTTCCTCTGTGGCCACGCTGAAGTTCTCCAGAATGATGGCGATGTACATGTTGACCACAATGAGAAAGGAGATGATGATGTAGGTGACGAAGAAGGTGATGCCCACCGACGGGTTGCCGCAGTTCCCCTTGACGGTGGTGCCGGTGTGGGGGAGGTGGGGGTCACACTCCTCGGGGGAGTTGTTGAGGATGGGGCTGAGCAGGCTGTCCCAACCTGCGGAGGTGGTGATCTGGAACAAACAGAGCATGCTGTTCCCGAACGTCTCAAAGTTAAACATGTCGTCAATCCCGCCCTGCCGCTTTACGTAGGCAAAGTTAGCCATGCCGAAGATGGCGTAGATGAACATGACGAGGAAGAGGAGCAGCCCGATGTTGAAGAGGGCAGGAAGTGACATCATGAGGGCAAACAGCAACGTCCGAATGCCCTTCGCTCCTCTGATGAGGCGCAGGATTCGTCCAATGCGGGCCAGCCGGATAACTCGGAACAAGGTGGGCGACACAAAGTACTTTTCGATGATGTCAGCCAAGACGATCCCTGGAAGACATGAAAGAACAACATGAAGGTCACATTTAGCCGATCGCAAGGAACGGTCTGGTTCAGAGGGTCTTTGGTCAAACAGGCGGCAGCCATAGGGATGGAGAGGATAGGAATCAGTGGGAGCTGATGGATCTGGCATCAACACTGGAACCATAATGTCATCAGGCAATGCATGACAGGTCATTGTTGCTTTCTGTTGCTCTGGAGGTTCCAGTGACAGTTCGGCAACAAGGTTTGTTTTTTCCTGCTCGTAAAGATGAGGCACAATCTTTCCCTAAGTGATGGAATTACTTAACGTGGCTGAAGCACATTTAGCATTTGTTTAAAGCCTTAGTTGTGCGTCTCATGTCTGTAGCTATAAAAATCGGAGACTGGTCTGGTCTGATTCTGCCGCCAAAGGCTGAATAAGTGGTTGTTGAGAAGCACTTGTCTTGGATACTGATGCGGGCGCTAGATATGGTGACAACAAATCTTTTTCTATTGGATAACGAATCTGTTTCTATCAGATAACTAATCCATTTTTATCAGATGACGAATCTTAGTCTATCAGATAGCGAACCTGTTTTTATCGGATAATGAAGCCGTTTTTATCGGATAGTGAACCTGTTTTTTTCGGATAACAAATCTTTTTCTATTGGATAACGAATCTGTTTCTATCGGATAGCAAACCTGTTTTTATCGGATAACGAAGCCATTTTTATTGGGTAGCAAACCTGTTTTTTTTTCGGATAACAAATCTGTTTCTATCGGATAACAAATCTGTTTTTATCGGATAATGAATCTGTTTCTATCTGATAACGAATCTGTTTTTGTAGGATAACGAATCTGTTTCTATCGGATAATGAACCTTTTTTTTATCGGATAACAAATCCGTTTTTATCAGATAACGAAGCCGTTTTTTCCAATAGCAGACCTGTTTTTTCGGATAACAAACCTGTTTTTATCGGATAACAAATCTGTTTCTATCGGATAACAAATCTGTTTTTATCGGATAATGAATCTGTTTCTATCTGATAACGAATCTGTTTTTGTAGGATAACGAATCTGTTTCTATCGGATAATGAACCTTTTTTTTATCGGATAACAAATCCGTTTTTATCAGATAACGAATCTTATTCTATCAGATAGCGAACCTGTTTTTATCAGATAACAAATCCGTTTTTATCAGATGACGAATCTTTTTCTATCAGATAGCGAACCTGTTTTTATCGGATAACGAAGCCGTTTTTATCGGATAGCGAACCTGTTTTTTTCGGATAACAAATCTGTTTTTATCGGATAACAAATCTGTTTCTATCTGATAACGCATCTGCTTTTGTAGGATAACGAATCTGTTTCTATCGGATAATGAACCTTTTTTTTATCGGATAACAAATCTGTTTTTATCAGATGACGAATCGTTTTCTATCAGATAGCGAACCTGTTTTTATCGGATAATGAAGCCGTTTTTATCGGATAGCGAACCTGTTTTTTTCGGATAACAAATCTGTTTCTATCTGATAACGAATCTGTTTTTGTAGGATAACGAATCTGTTTCTATCGGATAATGAACCTTTTTTTTATCGGATAACAAATCTGTTTTTATCAGATAACGAATCTTATTCTATCAGATAGCGAACCTGTTTTTATCAGATAACAAATCCGTTTTTATCAGATGACGAATCTTTTTCTATCAGATAGCGAACCTGTTTTTATCGGATAACGAAGCCGTTTTTATCGGATAGCGAACCTGTTTTTTTCGGATAACAAATCTGTTTTTATCGGATAACAAATCTGTTTCTATCTGATAACGCATCTGCTTTTGTAGGATAACGAATCTGTTTCTATCGGATAATGAACCTTTTTTTTATCGGATAACAAATCTGTTTTTATCAGATGACGAATCGTTTTCTATCAGATAGCGAACCTGTTTTTATCGGATAATGAAGCCGTTTTTATCGGATAGCGAACCTGTTTTTTTCGGATAACAAATCTGTTTCTATCTGATAACGAATCTGTTTTTGTAGGATAACGAATCTGTTTCTATCGGATAATGAACCTTTTTTTTATCGGATAACAAATCTGTTTTTATCAGATAACAAATCTTATTCTATCAGATAACGAGCCTGTTTTTATCGGATAACGAAGCCGTTTTTTCCAATAGCAGACCTGTTTTTTCGGATAACAAATCTGTTTTTATCGGATAACAAATCTGTTTCTATCGGATAACAAATCTGTTTCTATCGGATAACAAATCTGTTTTTATCAGATAATGATTCTGTTTCTATCTGATAACGAATCTGTTTTTGTAGGATAACGAATCTGTTTCTATCGGATAATGAACCTTTTTTTTTATCGGATAACAAATCCGTTTTTATCAGATGACGAATCTTTTTCTATCAGATAGCGAACCTGTTTTTATCGGATAACGAAGCCGTTTTTATCGGATAGCAAACCTGTTTTCTTTGGATAACAAATCTGTTTTTATCGGATAAAGAATCTGTTTCTATTTGATAACGAATCTGTTTTTGTAGGATAACGAATCTGTTTCTATCAGATAATGAACCTTTTTTTATCGGATAACAAATCTGTTTTTATCGGATAACAAATCTGTTTCTATCTGATAACGCATCTGCTTTTGTAGGATAACGAATCTGTTTCTATCGGATAATGAACCTTTTTTTTTCGGATAACAAATCTGTTTTTATCGGATAACAAATCTGTTTCTATCTGATAACGCATCTGCTTTTGTAGGATAACGAATCTGTTTCTATCGGATAATGAACCTTTTTTTTATCGGATAACAAATCTGTTTTTATCAGATGACGAATCGTTTTCTATCAGATAGCGAACCTGTTTTTATCGGATAATGAAGCCGTTTTTATCGGATAGCGAACCTGTTTTTTTCGGATAACAAATCTGTTTCTATCTGATAACGAATCTGTTTTTGTAGGATAACGAATCTGTTTCTATCGGATAATGAACCTTTTTATTATCGGATAACAAATCTGTTTTTATCAGATAACAAATCTTATTCTATCAGATAACAAGCCTGTTTTTATCGGATAACGAAGCCGTTTTTTCCAATAGCAGACCTGTTTTTTCGGATAACAAATCTGTTTTTATCGGATAACAAATCTGTTTCTATCGGATAACAAATCTGTTTCTATCGGATAACAAATCTGTTTTTATCAGATAATGATTCTGTTTCTATCTGATAACGAATCTGTTTTTGTAGGATAACGAATCTGTTTCTATCGGATAATGAACCTTTTTTTTTATCGGATAACAAATCCGTTTTTATCAGATGACGAATCTTTTTCTATCAGATAGCGAACCTGTTTTTATCGGATAACGAAGCCGTTTTTATCGGATAGCAAACCTGTTTTCTTTGGATAACAAATCTGTTTTTATCGGATAAAGAATCTGTTTCTATTTGATAACGAATCTGTTTTTGTAGGATAACGAATCTGTTTCTATCAGATAATGAACCTTTTTTTATCGGATAACAAATCCGTTTTTATCAGATAACGAATCTTATTCTATCAGATAACGAGCCTGTTTCTATCGGATAACAAATCTGTTTTCATTGGATAACAAATCTGTTTCTATCGGATAACAAAACTTTTTCTATCGGATAAGGAATCTGTTTTTATCTGATAATGAACCTGTTTTTATCAGATAACAAATACGTTTTTATCGGATAACGAAGCCGTTTTTATCGGATAGCGAACCTGTTTTTTTCGGATAACAAATCTGTTTCTATCGGATAACAAAACTGTTTCTATCAGATTATGAATCTGTTTTTATCGGATAACAAATTATTTTCTATTAGATAAAGAACCTGTTTTTATCAGATAACGAATCTGTTTCTATCGGATAAGGAATCTGTTTTTATCTGATAATGAACCTGTTTTTATGAGATAACAAATACGTTTTTATCGGATAACGAAGCCGTTTTAATCAAATAGCGAACCTGTTTTCTTTATCCGATTATGTATCTGTTTCTATTGGATAAGGAATCTGTTTTTATCAGATAAAAAATCTGTTATCAGAAAATAAATCTGTTTCTATCAGATAAGGAATCTGTAAGCTGTGGCATCTGAAAGCTCTCTATCCGGAACTTTGGGTCCTGACCTGTCGGGTGGGTTTTATGGCTGTGTGAGTTAGTGCTTCTGGAGGATTGAGTCGCCTCTCCTCTGTAACAAGCAAGTCAAACGCTGTAATTCATCCATCTTCTCCTTGTTATCCTGGAGTGATAAACGTGTGGAGGAGATGACACACACACACACACTTCCATTCATTTCCCTGTGTTGAGTTATGGGTGAGGAGAGAATGAGGAGGGGGGGACATGAGAGGGAATCACCAGCCCACAGCATATCGGTTCAACCCCCCCATCCTGACACACGCTCACTGAGGGGCTGATGTCATTGGTGTTCGATTCATCTGCAGCGTTTGCCCCTGGGGCAACTCTGATTGCTGCCGTTACCTTCACCTCCCCCCCATCACCCCCCCCGGGATCATCCAGCGGCTGAGGAGGCAGCAGAACCCACCGACGATGGACAGGATGACGACCACGAAGTCAAAGATGTTCCAGCCGATGGTGAAGAAGTAGCAGCGCAGCGCCATGATCTTGATGCTGCACTCGGTGGTGAAGATGACGATGAAGGCCAGGTTGACGTAGTAGAGGATCTTCTCCATCTGAGGCGACTGCTCATCGGTCTCCACCATCATGGTGATCATGTTGAGGAGGATCAGCACCATGATGATGATGTCGAAGGCCTGTTTTCCCACCAGGTCGAAGAAGAAGCCCTGCAGGTCGTTCTGGTGTAAATAAACAGACGTCCAGAGTTATTGGTTTGGATCCCATCTGGCTGCTCCTCTTTATAAAATCACTGCAATCTCATTTCCACCATATCAAAGCTAAACAACCTAATTACAAATGTTTGGGTTTATACTGGTGAAAAAATAATCAGAAATACACACAATTATTTCCTATTGCTGGTAAGTTTAAACCAATTGGGATCCGAATCCCAGGGGCGCTGCCGGGAATTTGGGCCCCCATGATAGACGGTGCTTTAAAACTGCTATGAAGATGGACCAAAGAGCTAAATTTACATTTTCAATTTAATATTTTCGGTACTATTTCAACAAATGAAAATTAGCCTCGTACGAAAAAGTTAAATATACATTAACTTTAAACTTTGCATTAGAAATCGGATGGGAAATGGTCCCAATGGGAAATTCCATTGGGACCAAGTAGCACTAAGTTGCTAACCAGTTAGCAAGTAGCACTAAGTTGCTAACCAGTTAGCAAGTAGCACTAAGTTGCTAACCAGTTAGCAAGTAGCACTAAGTTGCTAACCAGTTAGCAACTTAGTGCTAGCAGGTTCCCAATGGGAAATTCCATTGGGACCAAGTAGCACTAAGTTGCTAACCAGTTAGCAACTGAGTGCTAGCAGGTTCCCAATGGGAAATTCCATTGGGACCAAGTAGCACTAAATTGGTGACTTAGAAACGACGCTGTCAAGGAACGCTATGGACAGCGGAAACATGCAAGAGGAGGAGAGTTTAGTGTCGGAGGTCGTGGATGAGTCTCCTCCGTCATCCATTTTTTATTTAGAGGAGGAAAGCGGGGACGAAGATGTTGTGGAAGAGGACGCCAGGGCGGCAGAAGCTTGGTTTGGTGTAGAAGGCTTCCAGCCGTACATGTTTGAGCCCTTGCCTCGCAACGCTGCCAGTTCTGTTAGCTCTACGCCTGCCGAAGACACAGACGTCCATCCCCGTGAACACTGGGACGCAACTCAATGGGAAAGGAAAGGATTCTGGTTTAAACCGTTGCGTATATTAGCTGCGACACATGAATCAAGATGCTATGACCGAAAACATTTGATTGACAGATGACCGTTGATATATGATTGGCCGAATTTAGGTGTTCAGGCTGACGTAGAACTAACTGGCCTGCAGAAGATAACGGAAAAAACACAGAGTTTAAGACAAGATTTTTGTAAAAATAGAAATTTTCTACATTGTGGGACAAAATGGTCTGATAAAGAGAAGATTTATATACATGTTTAAGCCAGAATGATTTGACATTTAAATATGATTTTGTCAGGAATCCAGTTTTTGTGGGTTGTTTCTGTGTTTCCTTTCCTCCTCCACCAGGTAGTGCCCCGTCCTCATTGGGCCTCCCTGCACACCTGCAGCTTGTTGCCTCATTACCTGTGGAGTGCTCCTAAGCTGCTGTCTGCCACTACCTCGAGGTCAGAGTGTTTGCCAGTTTGGTGAAGTCATCCTGCAAACTGGACGTTTCAGACCTTCTCTCCCTGGAAGGATCAACTGAGCCTCAAACTGAGCTGGGGATTCAAACTGGAGGTTTGGATCCACTTTCCCCCAAAATGTGGTTTGAGTTTCACACTGAGCAAGGGATTCATTTGCACCACAGCCCGTTCAAGTACCGTAGGAAATCTGAGTGGCAGTCAGCTTCTCCGTGCACCAAGGAACAACCGCAGTCTGAGTAAACCCTGTCCATTAAACAAGATAATCACTGGAACATCTCACACACTGGATTCAATAAAGAACACCTTTTTCTGGAAATGTGAGTCTGCAACCTATTCCTCCTCTTCAAGTCAAGGAATCTAATTTCCCACTGAGCCTGAACTAACCGCAGAGTCTTCCCCTCACCTTTCAGTTCCGGTTGAGCAGCGTTCTGAGCAGCACTGGACTAAATAAACCTGTTAAACTTCTCCCTGGTCTCTCTGTTTGGTCTTCTGCATTTTGGGTCAGATCTTTAATTAAATCATGACAGATTTCCATACGACTTTGAACAAAGGACAGATTATTTTTATGCTGGTGCTGAGAATTTAGTTTCCTATCATGACAATAATGGTGAATATGTTCATGCCCTGGTTCGCTGTTTAATCCTGAAAGATAATTACTTCTCCTGCGGGATTTTCTTTTTATATTTGCAATAACTAGTGGGACATATGTTTCTTCTTCTTTTGGGGCCCTTGGAATCTTCTAAACTTTCCTCCCATACACCTGTTGAATGGACTGGTTTAAAACCAGTCCTGTGTGGAGTTAGGAAGCGGAGGTAGAGCTCTGACTGAGGCAACCTCAGTCAAACATTTATACCTTACAAAATCCCAACACACACTCCTCCCACAGGGGAACCAACCCTGCATAAAGAACTCTTCTCCGTTTGGACGAAAAAACAACTTTAGTTCTTTAAGGCCGTTCCCTGTAGAGGCAGGAAGGATATTTGATCAAAGCAGAACTCTGATTCATTCATCAGAGCCTCAGTTGGAAGCAAAAAATTAACGATGGATCAATGAAACGGTCAATTAACACATGAGAGAATGTGGAAAAGGTCAAAGGTTATGTAAAGTACTGGGAGGTTTCCTCTCTGTGCCGTACCAGGGGTCTGGGGATGGGTTTCTGGGGCTTCTTGGAGCCCAGCTTCTTCATGGCGTTATAGTACTTCTTTTGTTCCTCCGTCATGAAGATGTCCTGTCCTCCTAATTAAAATAAAGATGAGTGATTCAGTTATTTTTACAGAAATTAATCCAAACTGCACAAAAAAAACCCCACATATTGATTTAATGTCAGCGAAATAAAATTTATGAGCCGAGTTAAATGTGATTTTGTGAGCCAGCAGATGTAATTATCTCAGAAAAAAAACGAAATTAAATCATCCCTCCTTTAAATAAATAAGGAACAAAGCGTTGCTCTGAGGCTTATCTTTCGTTTCTGCTGGTTGAAGTTGTCGATGATGACTCCGATGAAGAGGTTGAGGGTGAAGAAGGAGCCAAAGATGATGAAGATGACGAAGTACAAGTACATGTAGAGGTTGATCTCCTTGATGGGCTGCTCCTCCACCTGTCAAACACAAAGAAAAACGTTTTTCCTCCTCTTTATCTGGGAAACCCAAACTTTAAATCACTGGTTTGAGTTTTATAAGATAATGGCTGCTGAAAAAACATTCCTTTCCTTTAATAATAGAATTGTTTGATTTCAGCCTGTGAACTCATTTGGTTTGGTTTTTAAAGGGAAAGTCGCTCATATTCAGAATCCAAACTTCTGAAAGTTCTTTAAATCTGAAATGATTCCATCCTGTTCAATAAATGATCAGAGTTTTTAATTCAGAGTAATTTTCATGTGAATGTGCTTTACTGGAGGCATCCATGTTTGTCAAAGAACACTACTGCCACCTACTGGTTAGTGACATTGTCACGGTGCGGTATCGGCTGTTGATCAAGTCCCAGTGCTGTATCTGGTGTTTGTCACAACGCGCTATTATCCAAGTCATCTTGAAAACATTCTTCTTCCAAATGTTGGCTACATATTACGGGTTTTTTCTCTGGCCAGAAGTTCGATGGCAAATCCTCCCTCTTCAAGTTGGCGATCCAACGACCAACCCGTCCGTGGAGGATCAGGAATCAGAAAGGTGGAATAACTCTTTTTTCACTTTTACCCGATGTATTCCAGCATCCAGCTGCCATGCACGTGGGCATTGTCAGTTTCACTATAGCTCTGGTGAATTTCAATGGTGAAGTCCTCTGGAAATCTTCAATAATTGTTGTTGATTGCAGATGTGTCTAGTAGTTCCCATTGATTTAGCTTGGAAAGCGGGGAGAATGGCGCTAGGCTTACCGCACCGTGACGTCACTGCTGGAAGATGGCAGGAGGGGGGGGTTACTAGATTTGGGCAAAAATGGCCGCTCCCAGACTCAGTGATCGCAATGAAAATTATTACTTTTATTTTGTTACTGATTAACACTAAATTCATTAAATCGTGGCAAACATATTAGTTTTAGGTATAAATAATTATCCATTGATTATTCCTCGCTGACCGAACTTTTCCTTTAGTGATAACTTCCCAGTTTGAATGGAATCCGCGAGCTACAAGCTAACTTATGGCTCTGGGGGGGCTACATGCTAACTTATGGCTCTGGGCGAGCTACATGCTAACTTATGGTTCTGAGCAAGCTACATGCTAACTTACAGTTCTGGGCGAGCTACATATTAACTTATGGCTCTGGGCGAGCTACATGCTAACTTACGCTTCTGGGCAAGCTACATGCTAACTTACGGTTCTGGGCGAGCTACATGCTAACTTATGGCTCTGGGTGAGCTACATGCTAACTTACGCTTCTGGGCAAGCTACATGCTAACTTACGGTTCTGGGCAAGCTACATGCTAACTTATGGCTCTGGGCGAGCTACATGCTAACTTATGGCTCTGGGCGAGCTACATGCTAACTTACGCTTCTGGGCAAGCTACATGCTAACTTACGCTTCTGGGCAAGCTACATGCTAACTTACGGTTCTGGGCGAGCTACATGCTAACTTATGGCTCTGGGTGAGCTACATGCTAACTTACGCTTCTGGGCAAGCTACATGCTAACTTACGGTTCTGGGCGAGCTACATGCTAACTTATGGCTCTGGGCGAGCTACATGCTAACTTATGGCTCTGGGCGAGCTACATGCTAACTTACGCTTCTGGGCAAGCTACATGCTAACTTACGGTTCTGGGCGAGCTACATGCTAACTTACGGCTCTGGGCGAGCTACATGCTAACTTATGGCTCTGGGCGAGCTACATGCTAACTTACGGCTCTGGGCAAGCTACATGCTAACTTACGGCTCTGGGCAAGCTACATGCTAACTTATGGCTCTGGGCAAGCTACATGCTAACTTATGGCTCTGGGTGAGCTACATGCTAACTTACGGCTCTGGGCGAGCTACATGCTAACTTACGGCTCTGGAGTCCACAGCAGCGTACATGATATCCATCCAGCCTTTAAACGTTGCCTGGAAACAAGAAAAGCAACAGAAACTTTAAACACTGAATTTTTTATCCACTATAAAACAACATGGAAGACAGTTAGCCCACATCATCAGGCGTCCACCACCGTGCCTGAACATGGTGATGATGTCGGAGCACTTCAGCTGCCCTTTAGTTTGGTAGCGTTATAAAACCCTTGCAGATGCTAAATCCCAGCTTCTGATTGGCTGCTGCCGCGATGAGGGAATCAAACTGGACATAACATCCATTAAATGGTCCTGAAGGAGAACAGCCTCTAATAATCTGCCTTCTCACTTCCCTGCATCAGAAAAGAAAACATCATCTGAGCTGCTGTTTCCGAGCAGGTCAAGTGAGTTTCTCTGCATCGCCACGGCAACGCTTTGCTCATTTCCTGCACTCCAATGATAAAGTGCAGTTGATTTGGCAGTAATTTTACAGAAGGAAAGAACAATCCCTGCTGCTGGTTTTCTGAATATAAAGATGTTCCCTCCGTCCTCTAAGTGGGGGCAGCAGGAGGAAAGATGGAAAGGAGCTCTAATGTGAGGGGGCGTCTGGCGGCTGTCACTCCGAGACCGTCGTCCCGGGTTACCACCTGCGATTGTTGTTTCAAATGAGCGGTTAATGTGAAACACGCTCAGACATTTTTAAATCACAGCCAGCTTCAAACATCCTGCAGCTTTTTTAGGGTTTGCTAATGAAGCTGTTCGCTCTGAGGAGCTCCAAGGTCTGCAGCACCTTCTATACATCAGCAGCTCTGAGGAGCTCCAAGGTCTGCAGCACCTTCTATACATCAGCAGCTCTGAGGAGCTCCAAGGTCTGCAGACCTTCTATACAATTCCGCAAGGGGGCGGGGGGGAGGATTTTTGAGGTGCTCCAAGCGTTCTGACAGCACCCTTCTCATTAACAGCCACAGCAGCCTCATCCGGGAGGAGCTCCAAGGTCCTGCCATGCACCCCGTCCCTACTACATCAACGCCGCTTGAGCCCTCCGAGCTTCCAAGGTCTTGCCGCACTGCCCCCACCCCTCCCTCCCCCTACGCCTCCCAGCAGCCGCTCCAGCCCCCGCCTAGGAAGCTCACAAGGTCTGCACCCCCCCTCGAACTCCCCCACCTCCCTTCTATCCCTACCCCCATCAGCAGCTCACCCCCTGCTCCAGGTGCCCAGCTCAAGGTCTGCCAGCAGCCTCATTCTAATACATGTTCTCTGCAGCCTTGTCCCGGAGCTCCAGGTCTGCGAGCACCTTCTATACATCAGCAGCCTCTGAGGAGCTCCAAGGGCTGCAGCAAAACCTTCTATACATCCCCCCCACCCCCCCCACCCCCCCCTCCCCCCCCCCGCCCCACCAGCCCCCCACCCCCGCCACCCTCCCCCCTCGGAGCCCCGAGAGCCGAGCCCACCTCCCGCCCCCCTCCCTACTAATGATGCCGCACGCTCCACCTGTGAAGTCTCGCCCCCCGCCAGAACGAGAGAGTAAGTTTAAGCTTAGTTCATTATAGTCACTACTGTTAATTCGGGGGAATCTCACGTGTAGCGCCTATACGAGGGTCAACAATCGGTTCACCACCTGGGTCGCGTATGACGCTTGCAAAGCGCTCGTGAGGAGAGTCGTCCTGCATGTCTGGCGAGTACTCTGCAGCACCCTTTCCTACCTATCATCATCTAGCCAGATGCTCTGCAGAGGTAGCTCCACAGGTCTGCAGGCACCAGCACTTCTATTCCATCAGAAGCTCTGGTCCCCTGGGAGCTCCAAGGTCTGCGCAGCCACCTTCTTCCTTATACATCAGCATGCTTCTGAAAGTGAGGAGGCTTCTTCTTAAGGTCGTGCACGAGCTCAACCTTCTCTGACCCTCAGCCAGCCTCACTCTGAGGAGCTCCCCTTCCTAGGGAGTCTGCTCAGCTACCTTCTATACATGCCCAGCAGCTCCTGAGGGAGCTTAAGCTCCCTCTAGGGGTCTCTTTGCAAGCACCTTATATACGATAGCAGCTTCAAGCACTCCTTCTGTAAGGAGGCTCCCTAGGTTCTTGCAGCCCTCCCCCAGCACACTTCTCCCCATACCATCAGCCCAGCTATGAGGAGAAGAGCTCCTAAGGTCTTGCAGCACACCCCACCCCTCTCTATACAATCTGCAGCAGTACTGAGGAGCTCTCTGCCCCCCTGACCTAAGGCTCTCATGCACGCCCCCCCCTACGCACTTTCTTATACTCAGCAGCTCTGAGGAGCTCCAAGGTCCGGCAGCCCATTCTATACATAAGAGGGGTGGGGGGGCCTTTCCTATGAAGGTGAGGAGCGCTAAGGTCGGTCCGCAACCTTCTATTCCACATCAGCACGCTCTGAGGAGCTCACAAGGTCTGCAGCACCTTCATTATACATCAGCAGCTCTGAGGGGCTCTAAGGTCTGCAGCACCTTCTATACATCAGCAGCTCTGAGGAGCTCTAAGGTCTGCAGCACCTTCTATACATCAGCAGCTCTGAGGAGCTCTAAGGTCTGCAGCACCTTCTATACATCAGCAGCTCTGAGGGGCTCTAAGGTCTGCAGCACCTTCTATACATCAGCAGCTCTGAGGAGCTCTAAGGTCTGCAGCACCTTCTATACATCAGCAGCTCTGAGGAGCTCCAAGGTCTGCAGCACCTTCTATACATCAGCAGCTCTGAGGAGCTCTAAGGTCTGCAGCACCTTCTATACATCAGCAGCTCTGAGGGGCTCTAAGGTCTGCAGCACCTTCTATACATCAGCAGCTCTGAGGAGCTCCAAGGTCTGCAGCACCTTCTATACATCAGCAGCTCTGAGGGGCTCCAAGGTCTGCAGCACCTTCTATACATCAGCAGCTCTGAGGAGCTCCAAGGTCTGCAGCACCTTCTATACATCAGCAGCTCTGAGGAGCTCTAAGGTCTGCAGCACCTTCTATACATCAGCAGCTCTGAGGAGCTCTAAGGTCTGCAGCACCTTCTATACATCAGCAGCTCTGAGGAGCTCTAAGGTCTGCAGCACCTTCTATACATCAGCAGCTCTGAGGAGCTCCAAGGTCTGCAGCACCTTCTATACATCAGCAGCTCTGAGGAGCTCTAAGGTCTGCAGCACCTTCTATACATCAGCAGCTCTGAGGAGCTCTAAGGTCTGCAGCACCTTCTATACATCAGCAGCTCTGAGGAGCTCCAAGGTCTGCAGCACCTTCTATACATCAGCAGCTCTGAGGAGCTCCAAGGTCTGCAGCACCTTCTATACATCAGCAGCTCTGAGGAGCTCCAAGGTCTGCAGCACCTTCTATACATCAGCAGCTCTGAGGAGCTCCAAGGTCTGCAGCACCTTCTATACATCAGCAGCTCTGAGGAGCTCCAAGGTCTGCAGCACCTTCTATACATCAGCAGCTCTGAGGAGCTCCAAGGTCTGCAGCACCTTCTATACATCAGCAGCTCTGAGGAGCTCCAAGGTCTGCAGCACCTTCTATACATCAGCAGCTCTGAGGAGCTCCAAGGTCTGCAGCACCTTCTATACATCAGCAGCTCTGAGGAGCTCCAAGGTCTGCAGCACCTTCTATACATCAGCAGCTCTGAGGAGCTCCAAGGTCTGCAGCACCTTCTATACATCAGCAGCTCTGAGGAGCTCCAAGGTCTGCAGCACCTTCTATACATCAGCAGCTCTGAGGAGCTCCAAGGTCTGCAGCACCTTCTATACATCAGCAGCTCTGAGGAGCTCCAAGGTCTGCAGCACCTTCTATACATCAGCAGCTCTGAGGAGCTCCAAGGTCTGCAGCACCTTCTATACATCAGCAGCTCTGAGGAGCTCCAAGGTCTGCAGCACCTTCTATACATCAGCAGCTCTGAGGAGCTCCAAGGTCTGCAGCACCTTCTATACATCAGCAGCTCTGAGGAGCTCCAAGGTCTGCAGCACCTTCTATACATCAGCAGCTCTGAGGAGCTCCAAGGTCTGCAGCACCTTCTATACATCAGCAGCTCTGAGGAGCTCCAAGGTCTGCAGCACCTTCTATACATCAGCAGCTCTGAGGAGCTCCAAGGTCTGCAGCACCTTCTATACATCAGCAGCTCTGAGGAGCTCCAAGGTCTGCAGCACCTTCTATACATCAGCAGCTCTGAGGAGCTCCAAGGTCTGCAGCACCTTCTATACATCAGCAGCTCTGAGGAGCTCCAAGGTCTGCAGCACCTTCTATACATCAGCAGCTCTGAGGAGCTCCAAGGTCTGCAGCACCTTCTATACATCAGCAGCTCTGAGGAGCTCCAAGGTCTGCAGCACCTTCTATACATCAGCAGCTCTGAGGAGCTCCAAGGTCTGCAGCACCTTCTATACATCAGCAGCTCTGAGGAGCTCCAAGGTCTGCAGCACCTTCTATACATCAGCAGCTCTGAGGAGCTCCAAGGTCTGCAGCACCTTCTATACATCAGCAGCTCTGAGGAGCTCCAAGGTCTGCAGCACCTTCTATACATCAGCAGCTCTGAGGAGCTCCAAGGTCTGCAGCACCTTCTATACATCAGCAGCTCTGAGGAGCTCCAAGGTCTGCAGCACCTTCTATACATCAGCAGCTCTGAGGAGCTCCAAGGTCTGCAGCACCTTCTATACATCAGCAGCTCTGAGGAGCTCCAAGGTCTGCAGCACCTTCTATACATCAGCAGCTCTGAGGAGCTCATAGGTCTGCAGCACCTTCTATACATCAGCAGCTCTGAGGAGCTCCAAGGTCTGCAGCACCTTCTATACATCAGCAGCTCTGAGGAGCTCTAAGGTCTGCAGCACCTTCTATACATCAGCAGCTCTGAGGAGCTCCAAGGTCTGCAGCACCTTCTATACATCAGCAGCTCTGAGGAGCTCTAAGGTCTGCAGCACCTTCTATACATCAGCAGCTCTGAGGAGCTCTAAGGTCTGCAGCACCTTCTATACATCAGCAGCTCTGAGGAGCTCCAAGGTCTGCAGCACCTTCTATACATCAGCAGCTCTGAGGAGCTCTAAGGTCTGCAGCACCTTCTATACATCAGCAGCTCTGAGGAGCTCCAAGGT